TCTGTCTGTCTGTCTCTCTCTGTGCCTATCTATCTATCTATCTATCTATCTATCTATCTATCTATCTATCGTTCTATCGTTCTATCTATCTATCTATCGTTCTATCGTTCTGTCTGTCTGTCTATCTATATATCTATCTATCTGTGCATCCATCCATCCTTCCATCTATCTGTCCACCTATCCAATTGGCCATCTATCTATCTATCTATCCATCTATCTATCTATCTATCCATCTATCTATCTATCTATCCATCTATCTATCTATCTATCTGTCATGATCTCAAGATAACAACTGTTATCTTGTGAAAAAGCCTGAAATTCAAAAACACACCCAGATATTACAAAAAGAGTTTTTACGCTAGGACAAACCGAAAAAGTTGGAATATCACTAAAGCCGAAATGCGAAAAAGGGCGATGGAGAAGCGTTTTTCAAATAAATGATGACATATTAACTCATAAGTCACATGATACAGCGTATACACAACAGTGAACTGCTGTAGAGGACTATTTTGCCTCACAACATTCTGCATGTATCCATCCGCCATGAATGGCTTTAAATACCAAATACCTTCTCAAAACTATGGTAAAACAGTGTCTCAGACATCAGGCTGCGTATTCATCACCATTCCATGTAATGACTTTCTGTAAGGGAGCTCTGGGACGCTCTGGAGCAGCCACACATGAGCCTAAGGTCTCCTTCCCTGGTGTCAAGTGTGGGCTAGAGGGGTATAAAGCCCACTCTGGAGTGGTGGAGCTCCATCGAATACCTTTGGGATGAGTTGGAGTGATCCAGAACTGACCATCCAACATCAGTACATAACCTCACTAATGCTCAACCAAATCCTCACAACAATGTTCAACATCTACTGTAAAGCCTTCCCAGAAGAGTAGAGGCTGTTACTGCAGCACAGACTCACTACTAACACCTTCATTTCAGAGGAAACTCTGGAGTCTACAGACTCTTTGGACATGTGTATTAGTCAACTAGTGTGTGCAGCCTAAATCATCATCATCATGCTCGTATTAGGAAGTTCAGATCTGAGCTGGTTTCCTTTATGTGGAAAAATGAATAGTGTTTTGGAAAATCACCGCTGTTGCCTCCTGTGGTAAACATGCTCTAAAGCCAATAGGTTGTATGGACATTTTTGGCCCAAACATCACCCTCTGATTTACGAAGTCATTAACAAGCTGAAATAAACATTGCTGCATGATAGATAACATGGCTGTGCACTGAACTGACCTCATAAGACTGACCTCAACAATACCCAGTGAGACAGTTGGAGGAGCTGGTGTAGGTTTATGACTGTGCTGAAGAAAGTAGACTTCCTTTCATGCGATGTAATTTCAGTGTGCAGGTCTTAGCTTGCCTGCAGCCTTGTTTGTGTTTTGGTCACTAACTGGAGTGTGTAAAGCCCACAGCAGCTTCTGTGAGGGACCACCAAAACACTGCTGAATGTTGTTTTGCGTCTGAAAGTCGTTTGTTTTGTCTGAGCGTCTCTCACACTCAAGCTTTAGTCTGCGAGCGTCAGACGCTGCTGTTCAGTAAATATTACAGCTGTTCACACTGTGAGTTTCAGCTGAGGAGCTGCAGGGCCTCCGGCCTGTCTGTCTGTCTATCTATCTGTTTATCTGTCTGTTTATCTGTCTATCTGATCTGACCGTCTGTCTGTCTGTCTGTCTGTCTGTCTGTTTATCTGTCTATCTGATGTGACTGTCCGTCTGTCTGTCTGTCTGTCTGTCTGTCCATCTGTTTATCTGTCTATCTGATCTGACTGTCCGTCTGTCTGTCTGTCCATCTGTCTGTCTGTCTGTCTGTCTATCTGTTTATCTGTCTATCTGATGTGACTGTCTGTCTGTCTGTCTATCTAGCTACCTATCTATCTATGTCTTCCTGTCTTCCTGTCTGTCTATCTATCTATCTATCTATCTATCTATCTATCTATCTATGTCTTCCTGTCTGTCTTGCCCATCCATCTGTCCATCCATGTATCCGTCCACCTATCCAACTGTCCACCTATTCAACTGCCCATCTATCTATCTACCTATCTATCTATCTATCTATCTATCTATCTATCTATCTATCCGTCTGTCTGCCTATCTATCTATCTATCTATCTATCTATCTATCTATCTATCTATCTATCTATCTCTCTGTCTGTCTGTTTATCGATCTGTCTGTCTGTCTGTCTGTCTGTCTGTCTCTGTCTGTCTGTCTGTCTATCTGTCTCTCTGTCTCTCTGTCTTTCTGTTTATCGATCTGTCTGTCTGTCTGTCTGTCTCTCTGTCTGTCTATCTGTCTCTCTATCTGTCTGTCTGTCTGTCTGTGTGTCTGTGTGAAGGTCTATTTTGAAGGAGACCGTGTTGTTGGTTGTTTGCTGCTGTGGTCTGTGAGGTCTGTGCTGTGCTGTTGATCCTCCTCGTCTCTCGTCTCTGTCTGGTCCTCTGAAAGCTCAGAGCTGAGGAGGAGGACAAAAAGTTTAAAGACATTCAGCTCTGCTGTTTACACCCCCCCCCCTCCCCCGCCCCCAAACTGCTTTTTAATGCGTCTGTATTGCAGCTCCCAGCCAGGACCGACACTGAGAGCTTTTGTTTTTTTGTTTTTGCCCCCCTCCATTCAGAGTCAGTGTATCTGCTGCAGATTAGTGCTGGGAGCGCTGTCTCTCTGAGGGTCCCTGGGGGGTCGGACGGGTTATCGGGGGGAAGAGGGGTCTGCCTCTCGATTGTGTGCTGATAAAAGAGCACGTCCATCAGCCCCGGCTGGACTTAACCCCCCCTCGCCTGCCCGTCTCCGCCGGTATTGATCGGCCGTGATGACATCTTGACAGGCGTCTTCAGCCAGCTGCCGCCGGTCGAGCTTGGCTGATCTCCAATGAACCTGGATGGATCCGGTGTGGTGAAAAAAACAACAGGGCAATGCACAATGTCCTGAAAGAACAGCGGGGGGGGGTCGGAGGGGTGGGGGGCAGTGGTGACACTAAGAGTATCTTATAGTGAGTTAATGGATGGACCACCATAGCCAGACTTAGGGGGGAAATCACTGCACATAAACTTATAAAATTATTCTAGTGTGATATGATGACTCTACTATTTAGAAACGTGTTCAGAATGATGAACAGAGCTCTAAATCACTGGGAACACTGTAGAACATCCAGAATGAGGTTCTAATAAAATTAACATCCAGAATGAGGTTCTAATAAAATTAACGTCCAGAATGAAGTTCTAATAAAATTAACGTCCAGAATGAAGTTCTAATAAAATTAACATCCAGAATGAGGTTCTAATAAAATTAACATCCAGAATGAAGTTCTAATAAAATTAACATTCAGAATGAAGTTCTAATAAAATTAACATCCAGAATGAAGTTCTAATAAAATTAACATCCAGAATGAAGTTCTAATAAAATTAACATCAGAATGAAGTTCTAATAAAATTAACATCCAGAATGAGGTTCTAATAAAATTAACATCTAGAATGAAGTTCTAATTACATTATTCAGAATGAATATATGTGACAATATCTGGAAAAATTATATATATATATATATATATATATATATATATATATATAAAATGTAAATATTCACTGTAACAGTCTTTGTGATATAAGCCTGGAGTTTATAGGGTCAGTTACTGCAAACTGACCAAAACATGCTCAAATAAGTTAATTAATTTATTATTATTATTATTAATATTATTATTAATATTATTATTATTATTATGTCAGGGCTCTGGTCATTCCCCTGTTGTGCCTCTAAATGAGCAGAGTGATGGAGAGAGCTGTTCTGAGTGGAAGTGTTTGGTCACTGTTGGACAGACTGACGGGCTGTAATGTGGTTCTGTGGAGCGTCCGGTTCTGCGGAGCGGCGTGCTCTTTGCTCTGAGGTCAGCGTGTGCTGTGAGGAGTAATTTACTGGGGGAACAGCGAGGGTGATGGGTCATTGTAAATGACGCGGTGGAGCCGGAGAAGGTCAGAGCAATTTCCTCCAGAAACCAGCAAATATCACACTTTCCTCTTGATTTGGTTGTCGGGAGGTCAAGCGGCTCTCAGAGGCTCTCCAACCGGCCAATCAGAGCGAGGCTTCAGGAACAGAAACCAAAGCACTGCACAGAACCCTTAGAACGTTTACAGCCCCGACAGAATTCATCATCCAGTTAAACGCTTCTCTCATCACTGCAGTCTGATTATGTCTCTTTCTCTCCCCCATCTCTCTCTCTCTCTGTCTCTCTCTCTGTCTCTCTCACTCTCTCTCTCTCTTTCTGTCTCTCTCTCTCTCTCTCTCTCTGTCTCTCTCTCTCTCTCTCTCTCTGTCTCTCTCTCTAACTCTCTCTATCTCTCTCTCACTCTCTGTATCTCTCTGTCTCTCTCACTCTCCCTCTCTCTGTCTCTCTCACACTCTATCTCTCTGTCTCTCTCTCTCTGTCTCTCTCACTCTCCCTCTCTCTCTGTCTCTCTCACACTCTATCTCTCTGTCTCTCTCTCTCTGTCTCTCTCTCTCTCTCTCTCTCTCTCTCTCTAACTCTCTCTCTCTCTCACTCTCTGTATCTCTCTCTCTCACTCTCCCTCTCTCTCTGTCTCTCTCACACTCTATCTCTTTGTCTCTCTCTCTCTGTCTCTCTCACTCTCTCTCTCACTCTCTCTCTCTCTCTCTGTCTCTTTCCCTTCTCTCTCTTTCTCTCTGTATTTCTGTCTGTTCTCTCTGTTGTCTCTCTTCCTGTCTCTTTCCCCTTTCTCTCTCCCTCTTTCTCTTTTCCCTTATTCTCTTTTCCTTTCTCACTCTTTCTCTCTCCTTTCTCGTCCTCTTTTTCTTTTCTCTCTCCCTCTCTCTTTTTTCTCACTCCCCCTCTCTTTCTTCCTTCCAATGTTTCTCCACTCTTTTTTATTGCACACTTTCGTTCTTTTTCTTTTCTCTCTCTTCCTCTTTTCTTTTATCATTCTTACTCTCTCTTTTTCCCTTTTCTCTTTCTCTCCCTCTCTCTCTCTCTCTCTCTCTCTCTCTCACAGCCTCTCCTCATCCGAATCATGCTGGAAAGCCGTGTTTGAAGCTGAAGGTTTATGTGAAGCCTGCAAGTAAGTTACTTATTCACACACGTTCATAATACAAACCAGTGTAAATATTCAGAGGACAGCAATGTATTATTATTATTATTATTATTATTATTATTATTATTATTATTATATTGTAAGTCTGTTGTAATGATTTTGATGTGTTTTCTGACCCTGTATGATCTGTAAATCTGTGGACTAAGGTTCAGACCCAGCGCTGTTTGTCCTTTAGGGTTTATCCTCTGTGCTGCTGAGTCGCTGTCGGGACCCCTGATTTCAGAAAATGACACAGTTTATGTTCTGTTTCACAGCGTTTTGCTCTGTGGGCCTTCACTCTGTCTAATAGCGCTTCTATCAGGTTCAGTGGAACAACAGAGGAAAATCACTCAGGATGGACTTTAATGGGCTCATATCACACAGTTTTGAGTCCACTCATAACATTCATGTGGTTTTATATACCAAAAACGATCCCTGACCATTTCCCAGCCTTTCTTTGTCCCACAGAATTAAACAGGCTGTTTTTGTTACTGTGCCTTTAAGACTGATATATGTAAATGAGCTCTGTTTGGATTGGCTGCCCTGTATATGGTCATTTCACTAGACCACAGTCCTGAAATCCGAAGTGAGGCTGAGATGGCAAAAGTAGCTGCAAAAGATGACTGGAGTACTAATCTTGAGATGCTGCCCAATTTTATAATAAATAACGTATCAAAATGGGTGGGGCTAAACTGCTGTAGGCTGAATGGGTGGGGCCAAACTGCTGAAGGCTGAATGGGTGGGGCCAAACTGCTGTAGACTGAATGGGCGGGGCTAGACTGCTATATGGATGGTCATTTGTAAATGTTACAGTGACATCACAACCATGAATTAATTGAAAACAGGCTTTTTTGCAGCTTAGTTTTCCCACAGATGGACTCAGGGAGTGAACAGTGTGTTTGAAATTACATTACATGTTCAAAGCGTGTCAAACTCTTATTTGATAAAAGCCAGCAAAACTCCGTTTTCTGTGATCTGGGCCCTTTTAAAAGCTTTGGCACTCATCATTCAGACCCTTTTAATCCACATCAGTCAATCCGGAGCGCCGTTAAGGAGCGGGATGTAAGCCGCCTCCTCAGCCTCAGTAATTAAACTCTAATTAGGTCAGTGTTTGTGCTCCCCTGCTGCTTTGAGTGAAGGTGCCTGTGTTTCCCAGCTCTTCCTCTCCGTGTGCTGTCTCTCTCTACTCCTGTGTTTCAGATGGCTCAGGCTACGAGTCTCCGGAGCCCTTTCTGACCGATAAGAGTGCCCGCGGCGCCCGGACGGCCGCTGCGGTGCTGCTGGCCTCCGTGCTGGCTCTGCTGCTGCTAACCCACCTGTAGGATCTCCAGCTTCAGCCTGCGAGACCTCCAGCCAACATCTCCCTCCACAAACCCTCAGGGAAGCCCTCGGGGCAGCAGGTGGCACAGTGGTAGAAGACGCCAACCAGCAACCACTGGGTCACTAGTTTGAATCCCAGGACTGGCTTGGATATTCCCAGTTGGGTGACTGGTCTGTGGTTGCTGGCACCAAGATCCCAATTTAACTAGCCTGCTATTGTGTCCTAGGGCAACCTTCGCTGCCCCAGGGGGCGCTGTTTTATTTGGCGTCACATTGGACAGCAAAATGAAGAATTTCCATAGTAAAATCGACCAGTTAAGCAAACTCTCAGCCAGTTAGCACACAGGCTAATGCTAGCACACAGGCTAATGCCTGCAGAGATATGGCACACAGACTAATGCTAGCACAGAGGCTAATGCTAGCAGAGATATGACACACAGACTAATGCTAGCACAAAGGCTAATGCTAGCAACAGGCCACAGAGGCTAATGCTACCCGAGCAGCACCACACAGGCTAATTCTAGCGCAGCTAGGCCACATAGGCTAATGCTAGCAAATCTGTGCCACTGAACAGTGCTAAACAAGCCCAGAGCAATCGACTGCTGAGCACACAGACGTTTTTGGACAGCAAAACAGCAGCTTGGACACTTGACAGAGCCTGTTGAGGAAGGCTAATGCTAGCACACAGGCTAATGCTAGCAGAGCTAGGCCATACAAGTTCATTTATCAGAGCTGTGCCACACAGGCTAATGCTAGCACACAGGCTAATGCTAGCACACAGGCTAATGTTAGCACACAGGCTAATGCTACCAGATCAAAGCCACACTGGCAAATGTTAGCAAAGCTATGCCATTGAACATTGCTAAACTAGCCCAGAGCAATCCACTGCTGAGGAACTGGACGTTTTGGACGGCTAAGCTGTGGCTAGGACGCTTGATTGAGGCTGTTGGGGAACCGTGGTCAGCGTAATCGAGGCGTTCCTCCACGTGCCGTTTGGTTTTGTTTTCCATCGTTTCAGAGAGACGCTCACTACGGACGACGTTTTGCGAGAAAACCTGATTACATTGTTAGCAAGGCCATGTTTTGATTCCACAATGTTTCCTAGCGATAAATGACGCCAAATGACGCCAAAGGACTATTTTTACGGTTTTCTTTGCATCAGCAAACAGCAGAGACTGACTTATTTGGGAACCAGCACCTATAAAATAGTGGTAGACTCTTCACATGCATGTGAAACACTGTGAAAATAAGAAGAGACACTCGAACTGATCTTCTTACTGCAATGATGATATATTTTTATTGGTAAAAACCGTCTCGGACTCTCTTCCTGCTTCACTGCGGACTCCGGACTCTCTCGCCCGTCGCCTCCCATTTAGCTGATGGGGGAGTTTTTTCCTCGGCCGCAGCAGAAAGTCACCCGAGAGTCGTGACGGGGCAGCGCGGCGCTACGGCAGGAGCGGAAATGTGAGCGTTTCTGGATCAGTACGGGCCAAAACGTACAGCCCGGGTCTTTTCCCATGATGCCCTGGGAGACGGAAACAGCCAGGAAAGGCAGAACGTGGAGCAGAGCGGCTGTGAGCGAGGGTCCCGGGACGGGTCTCCGTTTAGTGTGAACATTACTGACGTAGTGAAACTGCACCGGAGGCAGCGGGGAAAACGGACGGGGAGTTTTTTGTATTCTATTTCATGTTATTTTTGTAGCATAAAAGCAACATCAATTATTCATGTGATACGGGGAAAGTTAGCTCCTCGCTGACGAACCAGCGGTCGAGTCAGCAGCGCTTTCTCTCTCTCTCTCTCTCTCTCTCTCTCTCTCTCTCCCCCTCTCTTTCTCTCTCTCTCTCCCTTTGTGTCTTTCTCTTTCTCCCTCGCGCTCTCTCATTCTTCTCTCTTTCTCTGTCCCACTCCCTCTCTCATTCATCTCCCTCTCTCATTCATCTCCATCTATCTGTCTCTCTCTCTTTCTCTCCCACTTTTTCTTTCTCTCTCATTCTTCTCTTCGTCTCTTGACCCTCTCTCTTACATTCTTCTCTCTTTGTTCATCTCCTTCTCCCTCTCTCTCTCTCTCCCCCTTTGTGTGTCTTTCTCTTTCTCCCCTCTCTCTTCTCTCTCTTCCTCGCTCTCTCATTCTTCTCCCTCTGTCTCTCTCATATCCCCCCCCCTCTCTCTCTCTCTCTCTCTCTGTCTCTCTGTCCCTCTCTCTCTCTGTCCCTTTTTCTCTCTCTCTGTCCCTCTCTCTCTCTCTCTCTCTCTCTCTCTCTCTCTCTCTCTCTCTCTCTTTTCTCGCTCTCTGCTCTCTCCTCATTGTTCTCCTGTCAGGCTCTATTCAGAAGCTGAAGGGATGACGCGTCCACATCCGTCCGAGTCGATCGTGTCCTCTTTTTTTCTTGTGTGACATATTTTGTACAGCCTGTTCTGTCAAACTGCGAAAAATGTGACGAAATGCAGAACAAAATAAAACGTTTTTTGTCTACAGTCTGAGTCGTGTGTGCGTTTCTGAAACCACAGGTGACCAGAGTCCATGAGTTAATTCAGTATCTGACCGGTGACTGTGGGCAGTGACTGAGGAAATGTTGATTTCTGTAAGTATAACTTAATAATCACCACGTTTCGGAGGAGCGTCACTCTGACCCTGGATAGGGGGTGAGCAGTTTTCCTTAAAGGGGAACTCCAGTGTTTTAGAATTTCTCCTTTACTCAGTGGTCAAATGGCACAGCAGTTGTCCCGTTCCACCTTAAACGGAACAGCAGTTGTGATGCCTGAGGCCCAAAATGAAACTGCTGCTCCATTTAAGGTGGAACGGAAAATATTCGAACAAGAATCTGGTGAATATCTGACTTCAGCTTCATATCACTGAAGAATTAGGGGTGGGTGATAATAAATAATTGCCCCCTTCTTTGAAGGCATATGATTCCCTAAATGTAACTAAAGCCCAGCAGTGAGGAGCTGAACTTTACCCTCCTCTGCTGTCACTGCAGTCTGGCAGCGTCACCTACAGAGCAGCGCTGGTAGCTGTTAATGAAGTGATGCTCTTTTTATTTGAGGGTCCCATTTCAGAGGGACGATTTTAACCAATACCCTGTAACTCAATAAGAAATGGGAGAGAAGGCATAAAATTGTGAGACTTGGTGGAGTTCCCCTTTGGGCCCGTGTAAATCACAGCTGTGTGTGAGCGGTGGAGATGAGGGATCGTGGTCTGGCTGGCCCCGGAGACGTGAAGGTCCTGTGTGAATATTTTATGCCGTGTAGACTGTGATAAAAAATACATGCGGCAGGAAAGCTACCAGGCCGCCTCCTCCGCCGAGGAAGACGCGCTCCAGATACCATCTGTCCAGGTGGTCAGCGCGGACTGACATTCAGCAAGGGCCCGAAAAAACATTTCATCCTGTGGGGCATGATGGGAATGTGGGACGGACGCAGCCTGTTTACAGAGTCGGCTCAGCATCTCCGTCTTTATCAGAGAGCAGCTGCTCCTCCGTCTGACTCTCCTGACTTCACTACAATCACAGCACTTACTGCAGGACTGAGGCCGTAGAGTAGCTGCTGTGAGGGCCTACAGTCACCCTACAGCTCTGCTTATGGGGATAAAGAAACAGGAAAGAGGGGAAAGAAAAGAGATACAGAAATATAGGGAGAGAGAGAGAAATGGGAAAGAGGGAGGGATACAGAAACAGAGGAGGAAGAGAGATACAGATGGGGAGAGAATCAGAGATACGGGGAGAGAGAAAGACACGGAGAGCGATACAGAAATAGAGGGAAGAGAGATAGAGAAACAGAGGGGAGAGAGATACAGAAACATAGGGGGAGGTAGAGAGAGATACAGAAACAGGAAGAGAGAGAGGGAGTGGGAGAGAGAAAGAAGAATGAGAGGTAGAGACGGAGAGAGAAGAATGGAAGATAGAGATTCAAAGAGAGAAAGAAAGAGAAACAGATGGGGAGAGAGAGATACAGAAACGGGAGAGAGAGAGAAATAGAGAAACAGAGGGGGGGGGGAGAGTGAGAGAGATACAGAAACAGGGGAGAGAGAGAGAGAAATAGAGAAACAGAGGTGAAATAAAAACAGAGATGCCTGATGATCATCTCTGTTCTCCAAGGGGTCTTTGCTGCCCCCTAGTGGTTTCAACACCTTAACATCAGTACTGAGCTCTACACACAGCCACTGTGTGACCAGCCACTTTCATTTAGTCCACGTCCTTTGTCCATTTAATCAGCTCCACTGACCATATCGTTTAACTCTGTAGTTCTACAATTACAGACTGTAGTCCATCTGTTTCTCTGCATACTTTGTTAGCCCCCTTTTACCCTGTTCTTCAGTGGTCAGGAGCCCCCATGGACCCTCACAGAGCAGGTACTATTTGGGTGGTGGATCATTCTCAGCTGCAGTAACACTGACGTGGTGGTGGTGTGTTAGTGTGTGTTGTGCTGGTACAAGTGGATCAGACACAGCAGTGCTGCTGGAGTTTTTAAGCACCTCAGTGTCACTGCTGGACTGAGAATAGTCCACCAACCAAAAATATCCAGCCAACAGCATCCTGTGGGCAGCGTCCTGTGACCACTGATGAAGGACTAGAGGATGACCAACACAAACTGTGCAGGAGCAGATGAGCTATCGTCTCTGACTTTACATCTACAAGGTGGACTGACAAGGTAGGAGTGTCTAATAGAGTGGACAGTGAGTGGACACAGGGTTTAAAAACTCCAGCAGCACTGCTGTGTCTGATCCACTCAGACCAGCACAACACACACTAACACACCACCACCACGCCAGTGTTACTGCAGTGCTGAGAATGACCCACCACCCAAATAGTCCCTGCTCTGTGAGGGTCCATGGGGGTCCTGACCACTGAAGAACAGGGTAACAAAGTATGCAGAGAAACAGATGGACTACAGTCTGTAACTGTAGGACTACAGAGTGAAACTATATGGTCAGTGGGGCTGATAAAGTGGACAGTGAGTGTAGATGGACTTAATGTCATGGCTGATATAGTGCATTATATATACACATATTAAAGTTTGGCTATAAATTTGAAGTTGCTAAATGACTACACTGTATATTTGGTTGTTTAATAATTCTGCCAGGTTTTGGGCCTCAGTCTCTCTTTAATAACACAAAATTGAAGTCGTGTCTGTTTGTAAGTCAATATTCAATTTAGTTCAGGCTTGTAGTCATTACACACAGTGTACAGCATAATAATGTGTTCAGCTTATTCTCTGATTAGTGTCATTATCTGCTGTATCACAGCAATGAAAGGGAAATTCCACTCATTTTTCAAAATTCCTCCATAATTCAGTGTGAGATGTAAACAGAGAGATTCAGAGAGGTTTGGTGTGAAATGGTTCAGATGTCTTTACAGTGGTGGTGATAGGAACCAGGAGTCGCCATGACTACAACACAAATATAGACATTTTATTTACTATCCAGAACCACCAGTGAACCTACACGAGTCTTCTGAGTTTATATGGAATGTTGATGATGGAAAATAGTGGAAAATCTGAAATAATAATTTTTCCTTGGGGACTATTTTGCCTCACAGCGCCCTGCATGTATCCCTCCACCATGAATGGATGTTAAAGTGCAATATAGGACCATAGTCTTCTCACAGCTGGCGTAAAACAATGTCTCAGACGTCTGGTTCCTATCACCAACACTGTAAACAATTCTGACTTTAGAATGGAGCATTTCACACCAAACCGCTCTGAATGACTCAT